TTCCCTATAGATACTTCAACACATTTACCACAGATATTGTACAGTCTTAGTATAGTTCTAAGCCTGGGTTATCTGTGTGTCTGCTTTTATATGTCACATTATTTTGCTTTTTAGCAATTTCATTCTTTATTGTGTCACAGATATTATATTTAACATCATAGCATGAAGTAGCTGAATTATATATGTATATGTATAAATGTGTTTATGTATGTCTATACCTACGTATACACACACACACACACACACACACACACACACACACACACACTCATATTCCCTGACTTTCTTCCTTCTTGTCAGGAGCCTAGGATAAGGTACTGACCATTTTTCTACTATAAATATTTTAAGGAATTTTTCCAAATTTCTTTTGAAATGGTTCCCTGTACAACTACAATAGATAAAGAGCAAACATTTTTTTTTGTAAAATGTATTGTTTATCATTATTACATTATTTTTATAAATATTAATTGGAAGTTTATTTGGCATTTGATTGTTTTTTAAATAGCATGGCCTGGAAACTGTGTCTTATTTTGTTGCTGTATTTCTTAGTACATTTTTTAAATGAGAGGGTTGGACCTTATTCTGTTTTAGGTCTCTTTTAAATCTAATATTCTACAAACGTAGAAGCTTATTTTGTGTAGGTGTTGTCAAATTGCATTTATCAAGTAATGTGACAACTGCCTTTAATAATTCAATGTGAATTCAAGTGTGTGAAAGGTTATTTAATGTTTCATCTCTTTGTTTGTAAGGATCAGAAGGTGAAAATCGCGAAGTGGTTACTGGCAGCTACTTCTTTCTCGCTTGCAGCTGTATGGAAGGTGCTGTCAGTCTGAACCGATCCGAAGCCCTTGGTCATGTGTGTTGGTTCCTACGTGAAGGAACAAGGAAGGTGAGGTACATTTCTGTAGTAGCTTCTTATTGCCTCTTTAACTCATAATTGTCTGAAAAATGTTAGAAATGTGAAGGTTGTAAATTCAATGTTCGAGATGTGCATAGCTTAAATATAACTTCATAAACAAATTCTCAACAATGTACTTGGAAATCTTTATACTTCTTATATTTATAATATAGAGAGGTAGTAAAGAGTTTTAAGAATCACTTTATTCCTAGTCTTCTGTCTCCTATTTATGTTATAACTTACAGACTGATTTAAAGACAGTCAAACACAGATGTGATAATGCCACTTTTTTGTTTAAAGATTGTAAAGAACTACCCTTGTCTTTGGAATGTAGTTAAATCTCTGGAAGATTTCTAGTCTCTGGTCAGTCTTACCACTAACAACTGTGGGACTTAAGGCAAAGATACAAAGAATGGCCCTCTTTTTCCCAATCTTATCTCTACCTTGTACAAAATGGATATTTCCAAACAACACAACAGGAAAAAGAAAATAGAATTTTAATTTTAAGTAGATAAGGAACTTCTTGTCAAAATAATTAAGGAGTTTTCCAAAAAGTTTAGAGAGTTATCCTAATATTTGTAACCTCTCTTGTCTGGACACAACCTAATTTGGTCATTTTATATAAATAAAAACCAAATTGTAATTTTCTGTTTGGTGTATCATTCATACAAAATTTTCAGTAAAGATTTGTAAGCTCTTTTCATTATGCATAAATCCATTAATATTGAGCCAACTTTATAAAAATTAATCCAAGTCTTGTTGTACATAAAATACAACCATCTAGAGAGGAATTACAAATACAGGCAAACAGACTTCAAACTCTTCAGAACTTTTAATTTCACGTATGCCCTCAAGTATATTTTTCATTATGTTCTTAAAATTCATGAACATATGTATTAAGCTTAATATACATTTTCACATATGTATTTAGCTAAGTACAGATACACAACTATGCACATAGATGATTAAGTTTTTATCTTTAAGAAACATTTGACTTTATCAGCATATTAAAAAACAATATATACTATATTAATTTAAATAATTAAGTAACTGTTTTAGGAAACAAGCAAATCACATATTATCTAATATACATATTTCTATTTCTCTGTATTCTTTTAAAATAATTACTAACTTTAAATAAAGTAATTAACATTTGCTCTTTTAATCTTAATAGAAAACACAGAGAGAGCAATCCAATAATTTTTAGCTATTTTATTTTTTCATGAGCACACATTTTATAACACTTTATCAACTTTTTTGTTAGGCAAAATAAACATAAATATACCTATATAAACATAAATATACATCACCTAATGACATGTGCACATTTTAATTTCCATTCTATAAGAAACACGGTAATTTAAAACTATATTTAGAGATCAATATTTGTTTATTTTTCTTACTTAAAAATTATTAAGGTATCCAAAGATAATTTATTAATTCAACTTAGTATCAGTGTAAGGTCTTACAAAGATTTGGAAACTGCCATTTACAATATCATGTTAAGTTCTTATAATTTGCAGTATCATCAATAAAACACTCCAGTACATCAGTGTAGTAGAGTCAGTGAAAATGAATTAAATTTAACAGTTTAAATTATGCTCATTATTAAAATTTCAAAAAATAAATTTCAATTATGTCAAATTCATATTTTTATAATTATAAACAATCTGAGGAAACAATAATAGAACACCTTTTTAAAAGTTAAATTGTTCTAATTTGCCTGAGGAGTCTTTTAGTTATTGGGAAATTACATAAGATTTATTTTTAATATAAATAAACCTCTGTGTTCACATGTTTTAAAAAAAATCAAGACTTCTGAGTTCATGCCGGAACTCTAAGGGCCTAGTGCTCTATTCATCTAAAAGGCTAATTAAATTACCTGCACACACAGGTACACTTTTTCTGCTTTATTAAATTTTTGGCAAAGGGAAAACACAAATATAACACAGTTAAACATTTTCTTCTCCTTGTATTTTTGACTGTGTGAACAATAGTCTTAGAATGTACATATAATTATAGGAAATTATTTATGATCAATTAATTTAAAATTTTCCTAAGGAAAAACAAGGAAGAAACAGCAAAAAAGAAGAAGTGAAGGAAAGCTAGCTTCAGACAGATATACAGTCATGATTGTTAAAAGTTAACTATCTTCAGGACTTCCCTGGTGGTCCAGTGATAACAAATCTACCTTCCAATGCAGGGGGCCTGGGTTCAATCCCTGGTCAGGGAACTAAAATCCCACATTCCGTGGGGTAAATAATCCCACACACCACAACTACTGAGCTAGTGCAACTCAACAAGAGAGCCCATGTGCTGCAAACTACAGAGCCCATGTGCCCTGGAGCCCACATGCCACAACTAGAGAGAAGTCCACATGCCAAAATAAAGAGCCCACACCACAAATAAAAATCCTGCATGACTCAACGAAGATCCTGCATGCTGCAACTAAGACCTGACACATTCCTGTGCATTAAACAGTAATCTCTCTATTAGACATGGGAGACACAGCTCCCGAGACATTTTCTCTTTTTGTTCTAATGAATCTGTCAAGTGAACAATCTTGTTCATGTCAGAATTCCCCCAGAGTGGCCACTGCAATTGCAAGTTGTCCTTGAGAAATTATAACAATTAGAGAGATGCCCATGACTTACAACAGGAAGGGGGGAATGTTTGGGTTAAGGCCAGAGACACAAGGAGAACCCCAGAAAACATATCAGGCATCTGTGCAGTGTTACATCTCCAGAACCTGCCAGAGAAGCTGGTCGCAGCTCAGGGCCAGCAAAAGTGTTCACAAGACTTTGAAAAGGTGACTCAAGGAATATTCCGTTCATGGAATGTAGACTGATGTGACCATCTGAAATCATCACTCATTTACGTCATGTGGATGATGATGTTACAGGACCTAAACATACTCTTACAGATTCCCCAGAGGAAGTGATGTTGACAGAGAGATTTCATCTCTTTAGATCCAGTTGGAATACATAAGCAAAAAATTCCTATAATGTACCTGTATGTACCTATGTTACTGTTGTAGTAGGAGAGAAGAAAATCCAGTGGTCTCAGAGTAGGGTACTGTTTGCAGTCTAGAGTCCTGAGTTTTGATAATGAGGCTATTTTAATTGGATCCTTACAGAATGTTGTGTTTGTTCACTGTTGACCCTCCAAAAGACTACCAAACTATTCTGTTAAGGGCATAATTAGCAAACACAGAAGGCCTAGCCTACTCACAGAGCAAAACACTTGCAAACTCAGGAACAACTCAGTGTACACCACACATCTCATTGGTCAGTCTCTTACCTAATTTTCTCCAGTATTGTTCCACTAGCTCATGCCAGTACTTAAAAACACACATGTGTATTGTCTCAGCAGAGTTGAGTTCCATCTCTCTCCTATTGTAATGGGCATGAATAGTCTTTCTTGCCTGTTTAACCTTGTCCAGTGCAATTTTTACTTGATTAATACTTTTCTAAGAATCCAGGTTTCTGCATATTATGATAAAGAAAAGTCACTCAGTCCTATCCCTGAACTCTCTTTGCATATATATTTAGTTAACAAGGGCCAAAAAATGGTAAAATATGTGTCATATATTAGGCCTTAGAGTTTCTCCCCATTAAATCCCTTTGCTGAGTGACTTTACTAATATAATGTGGAAATGACAAAATAATTTATAGAAACATACAAGATATTCCATGAAATGATAGCAAATTTAAATAAAATTGTTTACTTGTATATGAAAAACATTTTTCAAAAGTATGTTGTAAATATTATACATGTAGCTTCTATCCAGCAGAAGTTAATTTTTTGTAGTAATATTCTGTAATATATATATGCATCAGTAGTAATGAATTTCCAGAAAAAGAAATTCTGGAAGTTTTGTTTTCCCTCTATTCTCCTTGTAAAGGAAAGATCATCCACAGCCTAGATTTAAAATTTTATTACATTTCTGCCTTAAATAAAAACTTTTAATATTAAGAATAAAATAAAATATCATTCCATTTTGTGTATTTTTAATGATGGCATTTTGTACAATGACACAAGTTCATAATTGATTATAATATAATTATTAATTCCAAATATCATAATACAATTATAATTGCTAATGTAACTTTTATTATATGTAGTATTATGTATAACCACTGAGTTTTCCAGGGTAATTTATATTTGTACTTATAGGTTTTACTCTAATCATAGGCATACATGGGTAGATCTCAACCTTTATTTTGCTCAAAATGCTCATTGAAAATCTGATGAAAGCTGGAAACAGTTCCCTCACGATAGCTTATGCACACACAAGCACACTGCTTTTCATAAAATTTCAGAGGGTTAATCGACTCCTTTTAAGTAGATTCCTTTATTTTTTATATTGAAAAACCGAAAAATCTTCCTCATACATGTGCAAGGTTGATTCAACTCAGTAAGTGTCCACTGATATAATTTACTGTCTTATAAGTTTTTCTGAGAGAGCTCTTCTTATCTATAAATTTAATTATAGAAAACTAAAACTCTAGTAGAAGACTAGGCTATGAATAGATAAGAAACCCCGTTGAAATACCAAGTTAAATATTTCTTAGTGCCAGCAACTACTTAATGGTTTTTATTTTTTTAATTTATTTTTTATTTTTTATTTTTTTGTGGAGTCGGGGATTATTTATTTATTTATATATTTATTTTTTAACATCTTTATTGGGGTATAATTGCTTTACAATGGTGTGTTAGTTTCTGCTTTATAACAAAGTGAATCAGTAAATTTAATGGTTTTTAGATACAGTAAATAATTGCAGTAAAGAATTCACCACCATCAGCATATGATGAAAGCATTTAACAAAGCTTTAAATGCAATTTAGGTGTTCATATAACAATTTTTAGACAAACGATAGTGTGGGTTTTGGTACATAGTTAAGGAAATTAGACACGTTTTCATTTGGTTCTTTCAGTTTTCCTTAAATCCTAGTAATAAATTATTTTGAAAATAAACCAAAAAGGAAGGCATATAATTATAGGAAATACTAGTTTGCCATAGTCTGAATTCTGCACTATTATTCTTTGTTGTTAAAACGTTGTTTTGTCATGATTTTTTTGTGTATTAGTGACCTAGATTTCTAATAACTAAATATACAATGATTCTTTAGTGTATGACATTTTTCTCTCCAACATAAAATAGCAAATTGTGAAGTTTTTTTTTGTTTTTCAGTAGAAATCAAAAATTAAGCAGACATGAAGCCTCACAGATTTTAAGCTTTGAGCGTGATTAGCTGGTAATATCTACTTTTTTTTTTGTTGTGTTTATTGAATCATCCAAGACTATATTGAAAACATGCAAACAAACAAAATCTCTGTATTTACCCAGTACCTGGGAAGCATTGCTCTTTTCCACAGTTTTCATGGGCCAAGTGGATCTATCTGTATACTCTTGACCAGACCAGGAAACAAGAAAAAAAATCAAACAGGAAAGATGGGGCAGCTGTTACAGGTGGGGCAGTGAGTGTCAGAGCTGCGGTAACAGACACAGGGTTAGAGTGTGAGTCACAAGAAGCAGATAACCACACAAAGTGGCTCTCTCCTGAGGGGCCACACTGGACACTGCAGCCTGGGTCTGGTCTACTTATTTGAAAACCCATATAATTTCCTCTCTACAAGCAGACTGTACATACAGTTTAACAGGACTGTGCATGCTACAGTATAATAATAGTAATATCTCACAAATTAAAAAGACTTATACCAAGAAATCAAGAAAACATATTGTGTGTATGTGTACAGAAAATAAGCCAAATTAGATTTTAGAATAAGACTAATTAAATTATATTGTTTTTAGAATTAAAGCAAATCAACTAAGAGGACTTCCAAGGTAAATGGGATAATGGAAGGAGATAATGGAAATTTTAAATATAAATTCAAATTTTCCAATACAATCTCTACAGGACAGTACAGACAAACAGGGAGAAAAACACAACCATTAATTACTGGTGTTTATGTTTATGTTACTTATAAGTAATTGAAGTTTTAGTGCTTTGTATTTGCTAGTTGTGTTGAAAGTAAAGAATATACATATTGTATTTTTTATAGTATATTAGAAGAATTGGCAAAATTTGAATAAAGTTTACAGGTTACAAAATATAGTATTAAAATCAAAGTTAATTTCTTAATTTTGATAATATTACTGAAGTAATGAAAACGTATATCCTTGTTTTTATAAGAATACACATTAAAGTAATTGAGGATAAAATGCAATACAATCACAAATTTCAGAAAATTAAATTAATAATATGAATATATATGTATGTACAGATGTATATAAACATATATTACATATATACATATATATAATGTACACATAGATATATACAGAAAGAATAATAAAATAGTGTCATTAAATGCTAATATCTGGTGTTTTATATGTAAGAGCTTATTTAACTTTGTAAGCCAATTATAACAATTTTCCTTTAAGAAACTTTACAGCAAATATACTCTATATGTAGGAATGATTAGGCACTCAGTGAAGGATAAGGATTTTCTGAAGTACAAACACATAGAGAAAACATGTAAATTCAATTATAATTGATTAAGTGTAAACAGCTTTTGAAAGACACCTCATCTGTCCATGTCAAAGACCTGTTCTCCTTCCTAGTGGAGTTAGAATTCTTAACTGACTTCAGCTCCAAATAGAAAAATGGAAAAACAGATTCTCATCTAACGCTTACCCAACAGAGACTAGATCTCTATAAGTAATTAATTTGTCATTAAAGGATCACACTGCAAAACCAAATTCCTAATTGTGTTGCTACTGATAGGAAATAACTTAATGGAGTTAAAAGAAAAAACATAAAGAAAACATGGAAATATTCAGAGGAAATATTTTCTTAAAGTTATCAAAGTTCTACTGTGTTTTGAACTCTCTTCTGAGAGCTAGGAAAAGATATGCCTGAGTTTAAGCTTTCCATAAGATGTGCACTTTCTGGTGACAAAGTTTGCCTAATTTTTTCAAGTAAATCTATTGGGCATATCTGTGTAAGTTCTCTAAAAATAGCTAAAGTGGTAATTTTTTTAAGAATAGGTATAATTATGACTTCCATGCAAATATAAAGTGTTAAAATTTTACTTAATTAATTTTTCATAAGGGATGCAATAAAATGTTACAGTCAGTTCAAAGGCAGGGCCAAACACCTCACTCAAGGAGAGAAAGCTTTTTAGTGATAAAGGAAACAGGATTTCCATGTATCTGGTTCTCAATATAATGCTATTTCCACCATAACAGTTAACAGTTTAGCAATGTCTATAAAAATTTGACTTAAATAAAAGCTTAAAAAATTTCTACAATTTTATAGTGGATATTGATCTATTTAACTTTTTACAATTTATGTATTACTGTTATAATTTGAGAATGAAATGAATTTGACTGTTGAGAACAATTTTGATATAAATTAAAAGTGAATATATTTTATCCTTGCTAAAAGAACACATGAATTTAACACATAGGGAAAATAAGAAATTCAAACAGAAATAATTGTAATATTTTAGTATATAATGGACAATTACATAATTCTTATTTTTTATAGATATGTGCAAATGGATATAGTTGTTTGATTAGAGAAGATGATAAGGGATATTGGTGCCTATGTACTTCCACATGGTTTTGCAAAATGTGTCTGGAAAACACAACTGACTATGAAGGAAGTAGGTGTCAACAAGAAGCTATTTATGAAGAGGAAATTAATATATCCAGGTATTTTATTCATCATTTCAACAAAGAATTTCACCTATTTTTCAAAATATTATAATTGTACTGATAAGCCATGATTGAAATATTTAATAATATTTAATAATATTTATTTTTGTTTGAAATGGTATTCATGCATCAAACATATACATATGTAGTTATCATATGTTATGTAATGTGTGTTATATATTATAAATAACAATAGAACAAAAATGAGGGTGATAAAGAATAGGCTTATATAGAAATAATTTTATCACATTAAAATTAAGTTTGTATCTGTGGGAGATTAAATCTGTGACAGATTCTGATATGTTAAGATGTATATGGTAATCTGCAAAGCAACTATTAAGAAAATAACTAAAACAGTACAGTAAAATAGCATTACAGGTATTAAAATTTTGCCCTCAAAAATATTTTCTTAATACAAAAGGAAGTGGTATCAGAAGAATAGAGTTTTAAAAAAAGACATAAAATGTCTGCAAAACAAAAAAGGAAATGGCAGACATAATTCCAACTATATCAATAATAACATTACAATCAAGTGGATTAAAAATCCAATGAAAAGGAGAGATTTTTCAGGCAAGATAATGTCTAGATATATACAAGTGTACACTGTCTATAGGAGACATACTCTACATTTAAATGTACAAACAGATTGAAAGTAAAATGTTGAGAAAAGATATATTGTTCAAACAACAACCATAGAAAGCTGTAATTTCTATATTAATATCAAAACAATAGACTCTAAAAGAAAAGATGTTCACTAGAGAAAAGGAACAACATTTTATAATGATAAAAGAGTCAATCCATCAGAATATGTAGCAATTATAAACATATGCACCTAACAAGAAAGACCCAAAATGCATGAAATAAAAAGTGACTGAATTGAAGGGAGAATTAGCCAATTCAACAAGAATAGCTGAAGACTCCATTTCTGCACTTTCAGTGGTGGACACAACACTTGGCAGGAGAACATCAAGTCTACAGAACATTGGAATGACATTATAAATCAAGTAGAATCATTATAAATGAGTAGATTAACACTCCAGTCAACAGCAGCAGAATAACATTATGTTCAAATGCACGTGGAACATTTTCCAAGATAGATCATTTACTAATAGAAGCTGCAATATATTTTAAAATATTGAAAAATTTTAAAAGTATGTTTTCTGGGCTTCCCTGGTGGCACAGTGGTTGAGAGTCCACCTGCCGATGCAGGGGACATGGATTCGTGACCCGGTCTGGGAATATCCCACATGCTGTGGAGCTGCTGGGCCCGTGAGCTATGGCTGCTAAGCCTGCGCGTCCGGAGCCTGTGCTCCACAATGGGAGAGGTCACAGCAGTGAGAGGCCCGCGTATCACAAAAAAAAAAAAAAAGCATGTTTTCTGACCACCCTGAAATGAGATTAGAAATCAAAAACAATAAGCAATTTGATAAATTCACAAAAATGTGGAAATTAACACAATTCATATATCAATAAATTAAAAATAAATCATAATAGAAATAAGAAAATCAATTGAGATTAATTAAAATGACGACACAACATGTCAAAACCCATGTGATGCAGGTGATGCAGTGCTTAGAATATAAATTATAGCTGTAAAAAAGAAGGACAATCTCAATCAATATCCTAAACTTCTAATTTAACATGATGGAAAATGTAGAAAGGAAGGAAATCATAAACTGTAGAGTGAAATGAATTAAATAGAGTATAGATAAAGAAGAGAGAATATCAACAAAACCAACGTCTATCCATTGAAATGATTAACAAAATGAATAATCCTTATCTATACTAAGACAGAGAGAAGAATCAAATTACTAAAATTAGGAATGATAAAGAGAGCATTATTTCTGAAATTACAGAAAGAAAAAGGATTATAAGGAAATGTAATGAACAGCTGTATATACAAAAATCTAGGTAACTATGAAGAAATGGAGACATTCCTAGAAAAACATAAACTACTGAAACTGACTCCAGAAGAAACAGAAAATCTAAATAGATTTTTTTTAAGTAAAAAGTTTGAATTATTAATTCAATGAACAAACAAAAGATTCACACTAAAAAATATCCAGGACTAAATAGCTTCACTGGGGAATACTTGAAACATGTAAAGCAGAAATAATAGAAATTATTAACTCTTCCAAAAATAAACGAGGAAACATTTCTCAACTCATTCTATGAGGCCAGTGTTACATTGATAAAAAAAAAAAAAAAACAAAGACATCACAAGAAAGTAAAATTACAGACAAATATGTCTAATTAATCTGAACACAAAAACCCTCAACACAATTGTACGCAGCAGATCCAGTAACATATAACAAAGATTATACACCATGACCACGTGGGATTCATCACAGAAGTGCAAAGTTGGTTTAACTTTCTAAAATCAATTAATGTAATATGTCATGTCAATTTAATAAAGGTGAAAAATAAAACATATGATAATTTCAATAGATACAGAGGAAAAAAAGGCATTTGACAGAATCCAACACCCCTTCATGATAAAAACAATCAAAAACAAAAAGAAAAAAGAAGATACAATGGAACTTCTTCCTTCAAACTAATAAGAAATTAAAAGAGAGACAAAACACAACTAACTTATTTAATGACAAAATAATGGAAATGAAAATTTAAAACCAGATAATACTTTATACCCTCTGTTATCAATAACATGATCAAAAAGAAAGATTAATAGAAAATACTGGTGTTGGTGAGGATTTGGAGAAATTGGAACCCTCGTATGCTGCTGGTGGTATATAAAATGGTGCATGCAGGTACTTGGAAAAGAGGAGTTATAGATTTCCATAAAACCCAGCAATTTCTAGTAGATACTCAGAAAAATGAAAATATGTTTCTATACAAAAACTTCTACATTAAAGTTTGTAAAGTTTTATTCATAATAGTCAAAAATTTAAAACAACCCAAATGTTTATCAAGTGATGATAAATGGAAAATAAAATGCATTACATTCATGAAATGGAATATTACCAAGCAATAAAAAGTAATGAATTCCTAATACATGCCACAACATGAACAAACCTTGAAAACATTATGCTGTGGTAAGAAGTCAATCACAAATGACACAAGTACAGATCAATAAATATTTGTTTTAAAAAACAATTATTTTTCAGGATCTTTTATTTATAAAAAATATCCTTTATTCTATAATATAAATGCATTTTTTCTGACTGTGTTTCACTGTGTTTATGGTAACAGAAGTTTACTATAATTTAATGAGAATACACAGGGTTCTTTAGTAGAGGGTAATGGGGAAATGCCTTACTATTAGATCATAGATAAAACTGAATTGTAACCTTATACTTTATTTGGGATCAGATTCTGAATGTGTTCAGAGACCTAAAGTTTAAAGGAAAAACAAATATATGATGCAAATGAAAGAAATGTAGAAAAATATCTCCATGATTTTGAAATGGAGAACTTTTAAAACTACACTACTGATACAATGAAGTATCACCTCACACTGGTCAGAATGGCCATCATCAAAAAATCTGCAAACAATAAATGCTGGAGAAGGTGTGGAGGAAAGGAAACCCTCCTACACTGTTGGTGGGAATGTAAATTGGTACAGCCATTATGGAGAACAGTTATGGAAGTTCCTTAAAAATCAAAAATAAAACTACCATATGACCCAGCAATCTTATTTCTAGGCATATATCCAGAGAAAAACATAATTCAAAAAGATACATGCACCCCAGTGTTCATTTCAGCATTATTTACAATAACCAGGACATGAAAGCAACCTAAATGTCCATTAACAGAGGAATGGATAAAGAAGATGTGGAACATATATACAGTGAAATATTACTCAGTCATTAAAAAGAACAAAATAATGCCATTTGCAGCAATGTGGATGGACTTAGAGATTGTCATACTGAGTGAAGTAAATCAGGCACAGAAAGACGAATATCATATGCCATCACTTATATGTGGAATCTAAAAAAAGGGTACAAATGAACTTATTTACAAAACAGAAGTAGAGTCACGGATGTAGAAAACAAACTTATGGTTATGAGGGGATGGTAGGGGAGGGATAAATTGGGAGGTTGTTATTGACATATACACACTACTATATATAAATAGATAACTAATAAGAACCTGCTGTATAGCACAGAGAACTTACTCAATACTCTGCACTGACCTATATGGGGAAATAATCTAAAAAAAAAAGGAGTGGATATATGTATATGTACAACTGATTCACTTTGCTGTACACCTGAAACTAACACAACATTATAAATCAACTATGTGCCAATAAAAATTTTTAAAAATAAAATAACTAAAACTAAACTCACAAGGTACAACTTATAAAGCCAAACAATTATAGTACTGTAATAGAAATTAAGGATTTCTTTCAAACGAATGACACTAGCAAAACAAAAAATAACAACAATAATAATAATGTTAACAGATGGTTGATCATTCATGCAAAAATATTTTTCTATTGATATATACTTCATAATAGTACAGCTTAAAGTGTATAATATAAATGAAGTATTTAACACAGGTTTGAGCCTGACCACATTTTTTGCCCTGAAATGTTAAAAAGTATTTTCTGGGAATTTGGAAAAACTTAATGGAGACAAAAAAAATCCCACCAAAGTTTTGTCCCTCAGGACTTCCAGACAGTTTTTGCTAAGTATGGGATCATAATTTCAGAAAACCAGGAAAAATTCTGAAGTGTTCATGGCTCCAACGCATGTATGAAGCTTCAAGCTTACGCGCAAGTCACCAATCCCTACTTGCTACCAGACATATAACAAAATTAAATCAATTCATTCATACACTCATCAAACATTTATTGAGCATTCCTTAATTAGAAAACATTGTGCAAAATGTTGTGGAAATGAGATCAAATAATGCATCATCCATAGGTAAATTAATATTATCCTCAGAACACATCTCATGGTCATTTCATTTCATTTAGAAAGCAAATACTTTTTAAACTACTAAAATACTATTATTTTCACTTTCTAAAGACACAA